TAAATTAAAAAAGTAAAAATAATATTCTCTATATATATATATATATATATATATATATATGATTTAAAGCACATGATCAGGGTTCTTTGAGGTATCTTTTGTAAGGCAAAGCATATCATCATATATTTAAAATTATAGTCACCCTTAAATCATATCTAATCAAGATGTTAATTATTTCAAGTGGTAGTTACTTAAGGAGGAATGACTTAAATGTAGAAAGAAAAAGAGATGAAGAGAGAGCCATTGTATTTGTATGTTAGACACTATGTTCTACATCAACATTGCATATCTATCACAACTCCAATAATAAAAAAGGCAGATGTGTTTAACAGAGCAATGTCCTTAATAAAAAGAGTGTCTTTTAACTTCTCTTCCTTTTCCACATGAATTTACACAAGCATAACATCACTAATTCTTATATTGAAAAAAAGATTGTTAGTGTTTTCGAATAAATTTGAATCAAGTAAATCAGATAGATTTCATGAGGTAAGTAACTTAGTTTATTCTAATGTATAATAACCTCTAATCCATTAGAACTTGCTAGTTTTTATTTTTCTTTTGATCATACAAAAAAGCAAGTCTAAAAAAATATACTTTCAAAAAAGAATGTTATGTGTACACTACATCTACCTCTAAAAAACTGTAGAATCAAAACGTGTGTGGTTAGATTAAACAAATTATTAACAAAATTTAACTCGCATACATATAAAATGCATTAACTTTATAAGCATCATTATAATAAACGCCAAGTAAAGTAGAAACATTAACCTAAAATTTCTATGTTTTAACAGGATCTGGAAGAGAAAATAAATCAATACAAAGCTAATTATATTAACTCTCTCAAACAAAAGGATAGAATAGTCCTAAACAAGGCTAAAGCAGATTAAATGATTCATCACAAAATCGTTGGTAGTTTCTGAAGAAAAAAAATAGAAAGAAAAAGTCAACTTGAGGGGGATGGAAATACCATATTCTTTCACACCAAGTTAGAGGAATAAGGAATATATTACATATCCATAGAGTCAATGTGAATGATAAGTGGATTGAAGGGGTTGATAACATATGACAAGCTACAGTGTATTCCTGTCAAGATCTTTTCAGCAAAAGAAACAACAATATTGCTGGCCCTGAAGTTTTCAACACCTTGTTCTGGGACATTATTGGCGCTGATATGGTTTAATTAGTGAAGGTTGTGTTCAATGGAAAGCAAATGCCTATGTTTTAACCAGTACTGGCCTAGTTCTAACACCTAAAGTTGACTTACCTCAATCTTTTCCTGAGTTTGAGACCTATCAGCCTCAATAATCTTTCCCAGAAAACTGTTCCTAAAGTGATGAATGATTGACTTTCCAATCTTCTGTCTGCTATCATATCTCTGAAAAAAATTACTCAAATTAATTTATATATGGACACTTTCATCTAGTTGTTGTTGATATTGCCATCACGAAGTTACTGTCTGATCAATATCTGAAAAGTCAAAAGATCATTTAATTAAAGCTTCTTTGTATTGAGAACAATAAATCGTACATTATTATTTCGTAAATTTATTTCTGAAAAGACTCGTGAGCTGGGAAAGAACATTGATATAAGATTTATCTGATTTTTGTAATGTATATAGCATCCAATATTATACTGGCCAAGTTTTGATATAACCAAAGTGAGATATACAAGTCTGAAGATATATGATTTACTAGGAGGTGGGTAGATTTTGAGCCAACGCAAATGTTGAAGAATTTTTTAAAAACATATTACATACCATGAAATATATGCTAGAAATAGGATAGAGGTGAAACGTTTTCAGTTAGTAAAGTCTACAAGGAGGACTATGAAATGCGACCTTAGAGAATGTTAATGAGTTGAAAACAAATTTAGAGAAGTAAGATATGCAGAAGCGAGGTTCAAGATGTATCTATTTTTATATGAGATAATTTCTTAGATGGTAGCTTCTTTTAATCTACTAAAAAATCACAAAATGAGGACATGTTTCATAATATACAGAGAATTGAGCTTCAATGATCCTAGATGTAAAAAGGTTGTTTAACCTTTCTACTTCTTAGCAATAAAAAGAGAATGAAATTGAAAGTTAGTGAATGGAGTTAGATTAGAGCCGACAAAAATCAAACTAAAAATGGTATACTACGTAATCGTTTGACGACAAGATGATATGTATGAGTGAATGATTATTTGAAGTCCAATAGAAAATACCTCTTCATCTTGTAATGCCATTAGTTGATATTTCTTGTTTCTCTCTTTTTTGGTTAGGGAAGGGCCTTAATCTATAAGCTAGACTTTATAAGTCTACTCATGTGTAGCCATGGTGATTTTTATTGATAGTAAATCGTTTTGTCATAAAAAAGATTGTTGGATGGATCCTCCGACCCCAATATGTCTGGCCCTTTATCTTACCTTAAATGCAGAAACATAAGCCCACATCATAACCAGAGGAAGAATGACATGAAGTAAAGGGATATAACTAATTCTAGTAGATGTGGCTGGAGATTCTTAACTTCACACTACAAATGAAAATAATTTCAAAACGTCAATGGAAAAATAGGAAGAAACTTAATGCTAAACCCACATAGAAAAGGCGAGACAACGAAACTTGAAGCTTTAAATCATCATCAACAAAAAATTATTGAAATAAAAGACAAATTTGGAGACATCGGCATTAGATGTTTATTGACGAAAGATAAATACCTAACAACTTCATTACAAATTCCGCTAGGTATAGACAAAAGCGACTCGAAAAAATCAACATTTTGAGATGTATTCTAAGCCATTCTAATCCCGCTCAATCAGAATAAAAAAAGATCGAAGAATAAAATAAAATTTGCACCTGTAAATTATCTACTAAGCAAATAAATAGATCAAAGCAAAGTTATAGAAAAACATATCAACCAATAACTTCAGTAAATTTTGTATATTCAAAGCAAACCTATAGTCAAAAGTGACAGTTGGAGAAATTCCAAAAACTCAAAATTATTTTATCAAATTACTGCATGCAAGAAACTAAACAAAAATCTTAAATAGGAATTACTGAGAACAAGGCAAACAAATTCACCTAACGGAAATTGGAAGTACAACGATTTAAATTATTGGGGCTTTCAAAGCACTAGGAATATCGAACATAAATAATAAACCAAAGTGAAAAAAGAAGAAAATTTTAACACACCAAGATCAAATTGGTCAAATGAAGATAAAATGGAGAAACATTTCCAAAATTCAATTTTTAGGGGTATAAAGATGACACAAAATATTGAAAAAAACATATAGGATCCTTACCTTGATAGATTGATAGAGAAAGGAGAAGACCTTTGATGTGCACTGAGATAAACGATTAAGACAACTAAAGAAGAACGTCTAAGTTGAAAACACAACAAGAAGACACGTAGTAACAATATAGAATTGAAAAGACTAAAATGCCCCTAGACTTGTGAAACATGCATGTTAAAATAAACATCTTCTATTATAGTAGAACACCAAAATGTTATCTTAATTAACAATCAAATCATGAAATACAGAAGGGAGAACTATATACATAACAAAACTAAAACAGAAATTAACAAGGAAAAAATTGATAGCTAAAATTATGGCTTACTCATTCAATAGGTATATCGTACGTCCATCTAAATGTTAAAATAATACTTAAAATGTATTAGAACATTTCTATGCCATCATTTTGTTTAATGCAATAAGAAGACCAAAAAAATTTTCATTCCAAGAAAAAAGGTTGGAATAAGAATTCTTGTACATTTGAGTGCTCTTGATTTGATTTGTGTTGTTATTTTCTTTCTAAATGTCATAAATATTAGTATAAACTTAAGGAATCCCATAGTGTAATTCAATAATTACATTTTGTCCCGAAAAGTTTAGTAATTACAAAAAATCCCTTAAATGTGTCGAGCCGTGATACTTTAGATTGTAGTGATACATGGTAAATGATACATGGTAATTTAAAACTGTTGAGAAAAAATAGGGGGAAAAAACAGTAAAGTTATGTTGTTAGTAAAACAGCTTAATTTGTGGTAACAGATCATTAATCAACATTAAATCAGCAATTAATTGGATATTAATTTCAAATTTTTATCATGCCCCTTCTCAATTCTCATCTTATGTTTGTTTGTTCGAACAAACTATCAAGTTATTTGAGACCTTTTTTTTAGTTGAATTACTGAAATTTTATCCATTTTATAGTCGCACAAGATATATATAATATCATTCAATTACTACTTTGGTGCAGTCGGAGGATAATGGACAAGGTGGGAGAAGGAAGAAGAAAGGGCTGAAAGAGAAGATAAAGGAGAAATTCACAGGAGGAAAGCACAAGAATGAGGAACCACATCACCAAGCACATGGTGTTGGAACTCGAACCACAACAACTACTACAACTACTACAGAGCATGAGAAGAAGAGTATGATGGAGAAGATCAAGGAGAAGTTACCCGGCCATCATAATCATCACTAGATAAAACGCTGGGGAATAAGAAGAATATTGTTGTATTCATCATGTCGTATCTCTTTTTATTTTATATAGTGCTAGTTGTTTGTGTTCAGTTCAGTATATGCTATCGTAGTGTAATTGTTGTTATTATATACATGAATGTACGCTTGTTTCAGTTCCAGCTGTTATTTGCTTGTATTAAGCCTTTCTACATATAATATGAAGGCATAACATGATTGAAAAAAGTAAAAATTTAAGGAATTCAATAAGTGAATTAACTAAAACATTATAACATGTGATACATATCTAATACATGTATCAGAAACATTGGCTAAACAATATACACACTGATTCTATATGTATCATCAAGTACAGTGGATGACGCATTTATTAAACTTAGTGAATGATATATTATAACAATTTTCAAAACATGTATCAGTACATCAACTAAACAACTAATACCTTACTGATACATGATATTAGTTTTCAGAAATTCATACTACATGCAAAACATGTGATACATATCTACTACATGTATCAGTGCATTGACTAAACACTGTACACAGAAATTCTATATATATTATCAAGCACAG